GCATTCACGATTTAATCATTGGTGAGGATGTACACAGACGGAGTGCTGGAGAAGCTTCCAATAGTCTTCTGTGTACTGAAGATACAGGAAAGGGGTCCAATAGAGGGTGTAGGGGTAGTGGAAGATCAAAGTCGAGAATAAGAGGTGGACAGAACAACAGGAGGGACGTGACCTGTTAGAACTGCAAAGGGAGTGGTCATGTGAAAAGTCATTTCCCAATGTTCATGGCAGATAAAGGCCAAAAGGAGATGAATATGGCGGAAAATTTTGAAGGTGACGCGCTCATTTGTTCAGTTCAAAATTCAATAGAATCCTGGGTCTTGGATTATGGTGCATCATTTAATGTTATTCATTCCATAGATGTGATACATAACTTTAGGGATTACCTAGGGAAGGTCAGGCTAGCAGGTAACAAGTGTTTGGATATCATGGGTTTCAGAGATGCCGTTCTCAAAACGACACTGGGTACGAATTGGACTTTAAAGAATGTCAAGTTCATTCCATATCTGAAGAGGATGTTGATATCAGTTGGACAACTTGATAATGAAAGTCATCATGTTACATTTGGCGATCACAAGTGGAAAGTGAAGAAGGAAAACTTGATCATTGCTAAGGTTCATAAACATGGTACACTATACATGGTGGAAGTTTCTGATAATGAGGCCCATACTGTTGAAGAAGTTGGGGCATGTACTCTATGCCACAAAAGATTTGATCATAAGAGTGAGGAGGGAATGAGGAAGTTTGTCTCCAGTGGCTGGATGCCATATTCGAAGAATGTGACAGATGCTTCTAAGCCATGTTCTATTGGCAGACAGAAGAAATTCAGTTTTACAAAGACAGCAAATCTGCCTAAGTTTGGGAAGTTAGGTTCAATTTATTCTGGTTTTTATAGTCCAACTTCATATTAGTTAGTGGGAGGATCCTAGAATCATGCAAAACCTATCTTTGGTCAAAGGATAGGAAGATGTTCAAGAAGCAGTGGGAGCTCTGATAAACCTAGAAATAGTGGGAGCTCTAGTGATAATGGTTATAAGGATGGAGTTGTAGGTGTTTCAAACATCAAACCACATATTATCGAGAGGACCATGAAGCAAACTACTCCAGTGAGGTATTCTCCATCAACCAATAACACGTTTATATGTGAGAATGGGTCAAAACCATAGGCCTTGAGGATGAACTCCATACAGTGGGAGAAGGCTATGGCTGACAAGTTGAGCGGACTGCAGAACAGTAAGATGTTTCAAGTTAAGGATGAGATAAATGGTGGTAAAACTTACAATGGAAGATTGACGGTCAAGGGAATACAACAGAAGGGATAAGATGATTCTCCTGTTGCGAATATGACTACAATTACATATATATTGAATGCAGTGGCGTCTGAAAATCTCCATCTACAGCACCTAGATGTGAATACAACTGATCTCCTTTATGATAACTTGGAAGGAGACAGCTTGAAGGAACAGCCAGAAAGTGCTCTTACAGCTGGTAAGAAAAAGCTGGTGTTCGATGTGAAAGAAAACATGTGTGGCATGAAGCAAACTTTTATATAGTGGTACTTAATGTTTGATAACTTCAAGAATAGGAGTGGGTTTAGAACACGTGAGGTTGGTCACATTTGTTACTTGAAGAAGTTAAGCTCCTCATACATCATCCTCGTATTAAATGTTCATGTCGTGTTAATTGTTGGTTCCAACACGCAGAAGTTCAATGAGCTTAAGATGCGGTTGACCAGAGAGTTCAAGAAAATAAACCAAGGGGCTACTAATGTAAAGAAAAGTCCTTAGTATGGAGAACTCAACAAATGAATATACTAAGGTGTTTACCACTAAAAAGTTGAAGCCAGACATGGCTTCAACTGCCCTTCCAAGATTTTGAGGACGGTGTTAGTGTAGAGAGGGAGAGAGATTGACAAAATGATGAAGAATTTGAATGGAAGATGAAGTTGTTCAAGCATTCAGGTAGGATATTATTGAGGTATAAAGTCTTGTCCAACATGGACCATTTGGATCATGTTCATGGATCATTTGGAACTCAATGGAGCACTTTGGGTTCATGGAGCATGTGACAAAGGAACGGATCATCCGAGAAGGGAATGGATCGTCTTACAAAGAAATAGATCAAGTGCCAAACGAACGGATCATAAAGAAGGGGATTTGTAGCACTTGGGAGTGATATGGAGTAACAAGGAAACCTTGTCATGCCATCTTTTGAAGGGTTGGGCCAAGAAGGATGTTGTTGCGCCAAGGGCACTCCTTCTTGCGCCAAACTACTCTCTCTTATGCCATAGGGTACTCCTGTTGCACCATGGAGTATGCTTTTTTCGCCATGTATGTTGTTGTTGTGTCAAGGTGGTGATGTTGCAAGATGGGTCATTTTGGTTCCTTGATGAGCCATGGTATCCCTTGCGAGCCAAGTATGCTATGAAGTCCTCCATGATGCTCAAGATAGTTCAAGGATACTCAGAAGTTAGTATTGCTCAAGAAATACAACTTGTTGTGCCACCATGATGGATGTTGGACCATTAGTGTTCATGATGCGCCATCTGTGCATCATGATGCTCCATTATGGTAAAGGTGGTCCATCATATGTGTTGCTGATACTCATGGGTTGTACGGCTTGGAAGAATGTTCCAGAAGATGTTGCATGGCAAAATATGATTGGTTGTCACCATTCATGGGCCTATGGGCCTATGGGCTTGGCCCATTAGGGTTTTAAGCCTGATCCCTCAAGTATAAATAGACTCATATCTCCATCATTGTATGTGTGCAGAAATTTCAAGAGAGTAATCATTGTGAGGTTTAGAGCACTCCTTTGGAGCAGTTAGTAAGCAAGAGAGATTCTTTTGTTTTGAGAGCTCAATTAAGGTGTAACCTTTGTGTATTGTAATTGTTCTTGGAAGTTAATAAAATCCTCTCTCTCTCTCTCTCTCTCTCTCTCTCTCTCTCTCTCTTTCGCCCTTGGATGTAGGTCACCTTGACCAAACCATGTTAAATATGGTGTTCACTTGATTTACATTTTCTGAAGTTTTATTTCTGCAAGTTCACTAAAGTTTGTTTTGATATTTTTCTGAAGTGCTTAACTTGTTTTGTTGTCACCCGACATTCTGTTCACAGTCAGAGCTTCAACAAGCTTCGTATTCGAGTTTAGCTCTGAACTATTCAGTTGATTGTTCAATAATCGATGGTTTAAGTAAATTTGTTTTATTCCTTGATATATTTCTTTTCTTCTTGAAAAAAATCAACAATTCAAAAATATTTTTCTTTATTTTTGTCTTTTATTTCTAAAATTCAAAAAAAATTTCTATAATTTTTTCACTTTTCTTATTCATTTCAAATTTAGATATATCATTGTAACATGTTTTGTCTATTTTCATGCAAAAACGAAGTTCAAATGGATATGGTAATCTTCAATTCTTATGACTAGTTAAGCGTCCCTGGAAGCATGTTGTAGCATGTTGTCCAAAGCCTCAATGACTCTTTCTTTGTGAAGCCTTAGTGAAATTTTCTTCTAAAAAATTCTTCCCAATAGGTTGTACTACCATAGTCATCAAGCTACCTTTTTCTTCTCAAATTGAGTTAAGAGATGATTCCTTGGTCATTTTTCTAGCAGAGATAGAATGATTATTTTATCCAATCCTTTTCACCCCAAATTTCTTACACATTGCACACACCATGTTGCATATCCCAAGATAGAATGATTCTTTTATCAAAAATCTGTTTTTATGATATCAAAATCATTTTTACCATGATGAGAGTGAGACCCAACAATCAAATCATTTAAATAATTTAACGGTGAACAATTTATTGTTCTAGATTTTTATAAGAAATTGATGAATGAAACTTCATGCTCAATATACCATTTCAAATGTTCAAAATCTCATTTCATTTCTTTTATGTGGTCTTAATGAAATACTCATTCCAAGTCATTTCTACCGAACAAGATCCAGTTCTTTAGTTTTTAAATGAGATTTCCGTTGGAACATTTACTTCAATCTTTAGTCATTAAAATTTTACCAATGCTTAATTGATGTTGATTACACCGATCACTCAAGAATTTTCTTACATTTCTTTTCTCTTAAGATGAAAACTTGTTTGAAAGTTAAGCCTACCTTCGACACTGGTTAAAAAAGGCCCTTCACTACTTCTCTATAATTATTCTATTGTATTTCATAGGAAACCACACAAGCACTTCGATTTCTCTCTTGAGATCGAAGGAAGACAATCTTTGCTCGAGATATTACTGCTTTTATATCAAAGTTTCTTTGATATCACACTTTCTCCAAACTTTTCTTAATTTGATTCTATCTTTTCATTTGGAACACATTGCATTGAAATCCTCGAGGTTTTGCGTATTACCAACCCATACCTATTAAAGATTGGTTCTTGCTTATTATCGAAGTTTGGATGATGTTCTATTCTTCATCTGGTTTTTATTCTTTTATGGTGTAGAGTTAAAGTAATTGTTGTATGTTGACGTTTGGCTACACAAATTTGTTTTTTGATCGAGAAAAAAATTCATTACATCTACATGTGGCAGATAAAGCCCATGTCACTTTAATTACCTATTTTACACGTGGTGTTTTCTGGTTGGATGTCGATTCAGATTAAAATTTGACGCCATTTATAAAAAGACATTTGACAGTTCCCTTCAGACTTTTCGATTTCTGAATTCTCTTAATGAACCCTAACCCTAAAATCTTCTCTACAAAATTCGTGCAATCCATGATCCTCATGTTGAATCCATCTGCACTAGTTGATCAATTTGATACAACCAATCATATTGAATATATTCCTCAGATGAAGATTCTATCGAACAACATTATGTTCCATCCTGAATTGGCAGTTTATCCTGAAGAACTAAAGATGATGATTCAATCCTTGAACGATTTTGTTCTTGTGTATGCCTTGTCCTCTTCTTTTGCGATTCCGATGCAATGGATTTCTTTGGCTACTTCTACCAATGTTTATCACAAATAGAGTGATATGATCACATTCTAGATGGAGTCCAAAGGAATAAAGAAGTTGTTGAAGAAACAGTTTTCTCAAATTCTTCAGTTACCAGCTATAGGCTCGTTTGAAGAGCCAACTTCTACACAAATGTTTCACATGCTTAATCAAATGGGGCTTACTCCACCTATTTTTGTTATTAGTGAGTTTCAAAAAGTCAAATTTCCATATTATCTGGGTTTTTTTCTTTGGAGTTACTCTTTAATGCTTGCCTGGAAGAAATTATGCTATTGACAAAGCGAAGCGCAAACTGTATTATGTCAATGTTGGATTATACCATGGTTTGAAACTTGATTATGCTTATTTGTTGTGGACCGAGTTTACAAATTATGTTACTAATTCTAAAAAGTCATCTGAGATTGCATGTGCTCATTTTTGGGGTTTGATTTTACGTGAAGCCTATAATCAAGCTGGTAGTCAAGTTCCTGTTTGTGTTGAGGTTGCTCATTATTCTCAAATTTAGATTTCAAAGACTGTGGTTGATGATCGTATTTCTTTTCCAGTGGTTGGAAGAATTCCTAATGTTATGCTTAATTTGGTAGTATACTCAAAACCTACTTTGAATGAGTACAAGAAAATGTTGGGTGTGATCCTCGTGTTCCTACTCCTAAGAAAGCGAATTCGAAGCCAAAGGGTGTTACCATTAAGGAACCATCTGCTGATGAACAACCAAAGAAACGAAAAGCATCTTGTGTGTTAAAAGTAAAAGTGAAGTCACAATCTTCAAAGCTAAAGTTGAAGAAACCTATGAAGACTGTTGAGACGGTTTTTAACGAAGAAGAAGTAGTTTTTGAGATTGATGATGAAGAAATGGATACTAAATTTCAGTAACCTATCCAACATTCTACGTTTGAAAGTGAAGGCAGTGCTGGTGATGATACTTAAACTATGCATGACAGTACAAATGTTTCACCACAAAGAGATGCCTTTGTCAAATTGAATATCAAGGAGACAAGCAACCTAGATGTCACTGTGAACACATCTCATGTGGACGCAAACATCACAAATAGTGAACAAAATTCAACATCTATTCCCGAGTCGAATACTGTCACACCACCCGAAGGTCCTACTTCCAAATCCAATACGGAGGAGTATAGTTCTTCCAAATTCGACCTCTATTCCTGAGTCGAATACTGTAACACCACCCGAAGGTCCTACTTCCAAATCCAATACGGAGGAGTATAGTTCTTTAAACATCCATAAGAACGTATATAATAAGGACTCAAATATTAATATGGGTGAAGATACTTTGAAGGATGTCTCGACTGTTTCTCCTCCACCACCATTGTCTCCAGCAGCTACTTCGACTATTCCAGCTACTACAACTTCTTTGTATTCACCAACGTCTGAAGGTATTCTACAACCAATTACTTCTCAATTATCATCTCTGTCTATAGATCAAACTTACAACACTCAAGAGGAAGAAGGTGTTGAATTTGATGATCTTGATTTCGACTCTGAGGAAGAAAATATAGAAGATCATGAAATCATGTCTGGAAAGCCGTATAAGATTCTCAAACCGAAGCTTAATACTATCTTACAGTTTCTCAATAATACTTATGGTGTTTCTTCATCTATTAGCAAAGCAGAAATGGAGTCTTTGTTGGTACTTTATGAAAAGAAGATGAAGTCAACTGTTCAAGGTGTTGTTACTGATATTCAACAAAGGTTGGATGATAATGTCAAGTCTTACAAGTACGATCTTAATGATGTGAAGACAGTGCAATCATCTAAAGAATCTATTGCATTTAAAGTCAAGGAACTTCGCCACTTTATTGTTGAAGAAGTGAAGAAAACTGATGGTTTCTATGAAGGGATTAAAAATAATGTTGATGCTCTTTTGTGTGCTACTCACACTTTAATCTGAGATATTCGGGCATTTAATCTTGAATACAAGGAAACATTGAGCACTAAGAATGATTCAGACACAAAGCTATTAAACGGAATTGAAACTTCGCTTAGTAGTTTTTAAAAGGATCTATAGAAGGTTGTTGTTTCTACCACACCTTCAATTTCTGATGAGAAACTTAATTCCATGATTTCTTCTATTAAAGTGTCTTTCAAATTTCAACTATCTCCAATATCAGATTTAGTACTTCAATTGCATACAAATGCTCCACGACCTGTGATCGCGTCACAAGGGGGAGATGAGGATGGCTCATCAAAGGTTGGAGGAGTTGAAAAACCTGTTATAGTTGGAAAGATGTATTCTTCACAAATTCCCAACTTTGCTTAGTAGTTTTCAAAAGGACCTATCGAAGATTGCTATTTCTACTACACATTCTAATTCTGATGAGAAAATTAATTCTACTATTTCTTCGATTAAAGAATCTTTCAAAACCTAATTATTTCTAATATTAGATTTAGTACGTCGATTGCCTACGAATTCTCCATGACCTGTGATTGTGTCACAAGGGGGGATAAGGATGGCTCATTGAAGGTTGGAGGAGTTGAGAAACTTGTTGTTGTTGGAAAGATGTATTCTTCATAGATTCCTACTCCCATTCTAGTAAAACATGTTCGGACTACAACAACAACAATGACAACTTTCGACTGTAAATGTTGATTTGCCGAAGTTACAATCAAAGAAGGGAATTAATATGAAAGAATGATGTGATGGATATTCTATAGTTAAGCCAAGTACTTATAAAGACTTGAAGAACAAAGGAAAAGGTGTTCATGTTGAACCAACTAAAGAAGAGAAAAAAATTGCAAGCTATAGAGATTGAGAAGCTCAAGCAACTTAATAGCATTATGAGCCATAGAGCTAGTGATCCACCTGGTCTTGCGAAGGGTGATCCGAACAAAACATGGTGTTATGATTCAATCGAAACAGTTGCTTATAGAGAGGTTGATGCTTTTGAGAAACAACCAAAGCAAAGTTATTTGATTGAAAATTATGATTTTAATCAACTGGACTTTCTATTTAATCCCTTTATGTTCATATTTCCTCAGTTCAAGCTACCCACTAATTGTAAAGATAGTGAAGATTACAAGAGCTTGAAGATTTAATTTCATACGATTTTGGGTAAAACAGGAAAGGAGGTCTGGTCACTCAAAAAGATAATCAAACTTGTTTCAATAACAAAAGATGTTATCTTTGAAGATATAACTCCGAATTATCGTTACAATGTTAACAGATCAGATAACACTCCTTTCAATTTCACGATTGCCAATTTCACACTGATGATCTTAAATGATCTTATTACTTTAGCGAAGATCATGGGAGATAGTGATAAGGATCAAAATGAAGACAAGGAAACAAACATCATTCTATATGGGCATCTCAAGAATTTTATTGATTGCTACTTTGCTCACATGAGTTATCTGACGTCAAGTTTGCAACTGCCTTCAAAAGAAGCCAAATAATCCAAAATCAGAGTTGATAGATGGTCTAAATATCAATGATTATGTAGATGGTGAGATTTTAATAAAACCAAGAGGAGTTTTGTTTCAGGGGAAGAACATGAAGGAAGGAGGAAAGAAAGAAATACTTCTTTCATATATCTTCCAAAGAAATGTATTCTAACTCGAATCTGACCAACATTCTTCTAAGGATCAACAAATGCAAGAAAAATTCCAATGAATACATGATGTAGATCCGAAAGATTGTATGTGTTGGAAATAGTGTCCAAGGTCATTAACTATTGGTAATATTTCTAATAATAACAGGGTCCTTTTGGGTTTATCTCAAAACCCAAATTGAGTAGAATAAATAAAGGAGAAATTGGTTTATTAATTATTATGGTTAATAATTAATTAGAAACTTATGGGAAACATATTTTGGGAATTAATTAACAGTATAATTAATTAAAGGGTTGAATATTCATTAATTGATAGTTGGTTAACCAGGAATGTTCCCGGACCCCTACATAATTAGGTTTGGATGAAAATAACTCCATTTCACATGCGAAAAGGGGTGAAATTCGTTTTAGGTATTCCATCCCACATGGGAAGGAGTATGAAACCTAGGAAGGGATCCAAGGCTAAAAATAGGGCCTTAGGATTTCATTGTTCCTTGCACCTTGGCTTGAAGTTTTCCCAACTCTTTTTCCTCCCCTTCTTAGGGATGATTTCTAACCCTCTTAGGGTTTGTGAAATTGACCCTTCTGCTAGTTATTTTTATTCCACTCTTTGGTGTAATTGGGTGTGATACCATTAGAGGGATTTTGGTTTGGGTCCTCTCATCCAAGCAACTTCATGAAGGATCAAGATCTCAAGCATGGAGATCAAAGGATACATAAGAGGTATGTTTTTCTTCTTTGTATTTTGTATTCTATGGTAGATGTAATTAGCATGAAACCATAGATCCATAGGTTGCATGTACACTTAGGTATATTGTAGTTTTAATTTTTCCGCTACCTAGCTTAGAGTGTATTTGATGTGTAGAAAACCCAACAGTATGTTGGTATTTGGAGATTCAAAGAGTTTTTATCGATACTATGATCATTTTACATGGTATTTGAAGATTCGATATTCATTATAAAGGGGGAGATTTTAGAGTAAAGGATGGTGTGATGTCTCAAAGTCTTGTGTAAAAGTCGAAGTGTTATAGGTCTGACATCCACAATTTACGGCTGTATTAAAACATTTATTTATGCTTATTTAAAACATAAATTATTTATAAATGCAGAATTTTGTACCGTAAAAGTATTTCCAAGGAAATGTTTTTCATTTATTTATAAAATCCTAGGATTTCATAACTGAAACAAAACATAAGCATAAACAGAGAATTATAATGTCTCAATATAATAATGGTCTACATCTCCTTGAATCTCTCATTGTGGATGTAATTTTGTATTGTTACCTGTGATATAAAGAAGTTGAGTGGGTCAGGCTAGGAAACCTGGTGAATACATAGGGATATCAAAAATATGTCTCCTATAAGATATCTACCCCATCCCGCTGGTCCTCACACAATCCATGCTCTCGGAGTTAGAAATGAATGACTTTACCCGACCCATACTCTCGGATCAAGAATACATAATTATATCTTATCCATACTATCGGATTAGGAGTGTTTGACTATGTCTAGTCCATGCTCTCGGACCAAGTACAAATGATTATGTATAATCCATACACTCGAATCAAAGACAAATGATTATGCCTAATCCATACTCTCGGATCAGGAATGATTAACTATGTCTAGTCCATACTCTTAAATCAAGGACAAATGATTATTTCTAATCCGTGATGTCGGATTGAGGAACTCATGTCCTTTGTGTTAGTCAAAAATAAGATGCTCTATGGTGTTCACTTGATTTACATTTTCTGAAGTTTTATTTCTGCAAGTTCACTGAAGTTTGTTTTGATATTTTTCTGAAGTGCTTAACTTGTTTTGTTGTCACCCGAAATTCTGTTCACAGTCAGAGCTTCAACAAGCTTCGTATTCGATTTTAGCTCTGAACTATTCAGTTGATTGTTCAATAATCGATGGTTTAAGTAAAAAAAAAGTATTCCTTGATATATTTCTTTTCTTCTTGAAAAAAAATCAAAAATTCAAAAATATTTTTCTTTACTTTTGTCTTTTATTTCTAAAATTCAAAAAGATTTTCTATAATTTTTTCACTTTTCTTATTCATTTCAAATTTGGATATATCATTGTCCTTTGTGTTAGTCAAAAATAAGATGCTCTACTCTTGATACCTATATTATTATCATGAAATAATATATACATCTGAATGCATATAGAATCATACTTGGTTCGCATATCATATATTATCAAATATGTTCTTAACACATATTCTAGGTAATAAGCATATAGCTCATATACAAACTCTTTAACATGCAATTAATAATTTTAATTAATAATTGTATTAAAATCATGTTCATGAAAGGGACTATGCACTCACATGGGTGACAGACGATTTCGGCAGCGCTTCGCTTTGTACTTTGAAAAGAACTAGATGCATAAAGTAGTAAGCCTTTGTCTAGTTTCATAATCCTAGTGACCATAATAATTATAGTATAGATTCCTCACTTATCCCAATGTTTACATCAAGATCTATCAAGTAAGGATCAGCCAGGCAGGACAGTTGGGAGGCAGGATCATTTCGGCATAATAGCTTTTCTGAAATCGAACAATCAAGCCAACGTGCCCATTCTATACACCTCTCCCATAAGTA